AAAAAAAAATAATACTACATTGTATAACTGAAATTTGTTAAGAGAGATCTTCAGTGTTCTCACCACACATACACACACACAAAAGGTGTGTTTCTTATTTAAAAAGCTTTTTTTTTAAGTTTATTTATTTTGAGAGAGAGAGAGAAAGAGAAAGAGAATCAGTAGGGGAGGGGCAGAGAGAGAGGGGGACAGAGGATCCGAAGTGGGCTCCGCACTGGCAGCAAAGAGCCTGACACAGGGCTTGAACTCACGATCCATGAGATCATGACCTGACCGATGTTGGACGTTTAACCAATTGAGCCACCCAGATGCCCCTTACAAAAAAGTTTCTTACAAAACCAAACATACTATATGATCCAGTGATTGCACTCAATGTCATTTACCCAAATGAACTGGAAACTTACGTCCACACAAAAACCCGCATGTGGATGTTTATTCATAATTGCCCAAACTCGGAAAGGTGTCTTTCAGTAGATGAATGGATAAATAAACTGTGGTATATACAATGGAAAATTATTTACAGCTAAAAAGAAATGAGTTATCAAACCATGAAAAGATATGGAGGAAACTACACTTGATCTTAGCCAAAAGGCCGAGAAGCGATATATGGAGGAAACTTAAGTGCATATTAGTGAGGAAAAAGGGACGAATGGGCAGAACACCAAGGATTTTTAGGTCAGTGAACTATTCTATATGATACTACAATGGTAGATACATAACAGTATACATCCATCGATACTGTAGGATGTACAACACCATGAGGGAGCCTTAATGTAAACTGTGGACTCAGGATGATAATAATGTGTCAGTGTGGGTTCGATTGTACCAAATGTCCTACTGTATTCGAGATGTTGATAGTGGGGGGAGGCTGTGTATATGTGAGGACAGGGAGTATATAAGAATTCTCTGTACTTTCTGCTCAATTTTACTGTGAACCCCCCCCCAAATGCTCTAAGAAATAATTTCATTAATTAAACAACAACAAAAAAAACTAACAAAAATAAAAATCCTTACAGATCTAGGAATCTTAGCAAACCCAAAGCAGGATAAACATAAAATCATCCCAACCACATCATTATCAACCTGTTGAAAACCAAGGGTAAAGAGAAAATCTTATTTAATTTTTAAAAAATTTTTATTAAAAATTTTTTTAACGTTTATTCATTTTTGAGAGACAGAGAGGGACAGAGTGGGGGAGGGGCAGAGACAGACAGGGAGACACAGACTCCAAAGCAGGCTCCAGGCTCCGAGCTGTTAGCACAGAGCCCGACGCTGGGCTTGAACTCACGAACCGTGAGAACTCACGAACTCACGAACTCACGAACCTGAGCTGAAGTCGGATGCTCAACCGACTAAGCCACCCAGGCACCCCTAAAGAGAAAATCTTAAAAGCCAGAGCAAAAAGATATGTACAAGGAAAACAACAAGAACCACAGCCAATTTCTCATGAGAAATGCTAATTTTCTCAGCCAGAAGACCATGGAACAACATCTTTAAAGTGCTAAAAGGAAGGAAAACTGCCAAGCTATCATTTTATATCCAATTTAAAATATCTTTCAAAAATTAAGGTAAAATAAAGACAGTTTTGGACAGAAGCGGTGAGGATTTGTTGCCAGCAGACTCATACAAGCACAGCTAAAGGGCATTCTTTCTTTAGGCTGAAGACAAACGATACCAGATGGAATCTGGAGCTACAGGAAATCATTAGAAATGATAAATATATCAATAGATGTAAAAGACAATTTTTCTTTGTTTTCTTAACTTCTTTCAAAGTCAACTGTTTAAAGCAATAACAACAATGTATTGTGGGGTTTATAACAAATGCAGAAGTGAAATATATGGCAGTCATAGCACAAGGTCAGAAGGAGGCAAATTATACAGTTGTAACATTCCTATTCAGACGTGGAGTGGTATAATATTAATTCAAGTTAATTGTGGTAAGTCAAGGATGTATTTGTTATCCTTAGAACAACTGTGAAAAAGTAACACAAAGTCATTGGTAGAGATAAAATGGAGTAAACAGTACTCAATCCAAAAGAAAGCAGAATAAAGGGGGAAAAAATAAAGAAGAGATGGTGTAAATAGAACACAAATAGCAAGCTGGTTGACGTAAATGGTACCGTATTAATAAATGTAAATTTTTTTTTTTTTCAACGTTTATTTATTTTTGGGACAGAGAGAGACAGAGCATGAACGGGGGAGGGGCAGAGAGAGAGGGAGACACAGAATCGGAAACAGGCTCCAGGCTCTGAGCCATCAGCCCAGAGCCCGACGCGGGGCTCGAACTCACGGACCGCGAGATCGTGACCTGGCTGAAGTCGGACGCTTAACCGACTGCGCCACCCAGGCGCCCCAGTATTAATAAATGTAAATGAACTCCACAGTCAAGGCAGTTAAGAAAAAAGAGAGACCTAACTATATGCCGTTTACCAGAGGTATACTTTAAATAGAAAAAGTTGAAAGCAAAAGTATTGAAAAAGATATACCATTCAAACACTAAGTGTAAGAAAGCTGGTGTGTTTTAGTATCAAAGTAGAATGCAGAGAATACCCTTGTTGGCTCAGTCTGAAGAGTATGAGGCTCCTGATCTTGGGGTTGTGAGTCTGAGCCCTACTTTGAGTGCAGAAATTACTTAAATAAATAAGAAACTTTATTGGGGCACCTAGGTGGCTCAGTCAGTTAAGCATCCAACTTGATTTTGGCTCAGGTCATGATCTCAGGGTTATGAGATTAAGCCCTCTGTTGGGCTCTGCACTGAGCCAGGAGCCTGCTTAAGACTTTTTTTTTTTCTCTCTTTCTCTCTCCCTCCCTCTACCTCTCCCCCCAATGTGTACATGCGCTCTCTCTCTACAAAAAAGTCAATAAAAAAACTTTATTTAAAAAAAGGTAGAATTGGGGTGACTGGGTGGCTGTCCGTTAAATGTCTGACTTTGGCTCAGATCATGATCTCATGGTTTGTGAGTTTGAGCCCCGCATCGGGCTCTGTACTGACAGCTTAGAACCTGGATTCTGTGTCCCCCTTTCTCTCTGCTCCTCCCCTGTTCACACTCTGTCTCTCTCTCTTCTTCAAAAATAAATAAACAGTAAAAAAATTTTTTTTAATTAAAAAAAGCAGAATGTAGAACAAGGAGTATTCCCCAGAGAGAAAAATATTCATTTCATAGACATTAAAATTCTGAACATGTATGCACCTAGTAACAAAACTTCAAAACACACAAAGCAAAAGTTGACCAAACTAAAGGGAGAAACAGACAAATCAACAATCATAGTTGGAAAGATGGAGAGTGAAAGAAATATAGAGTGTCAGAGACACAGAGGAAAGAAAGAGATAGAGAAACAGCTACAGGGACACAGAGCCCGAGTGAAGGAGAGGTATATGGCCTGATACTAAGAGGCTGACAGGACCCAGAGATAAGGAAAGAGAGGGATGGATCATGCCCTGGAAAGGAAGGGGGTCAGGAGCTCTGGTCTCAGTGTGTAGAGCCAGAGCAGGGGTCTGAGCCTGTGGGATCCTGGAGGGGGTGCTGCAGGGTGGGCAGCATCACTCACCTGCTGCCCCATGGAGCCTTGGGGGCCAGGTTCTCCACGCAGTCCCTGTGTGGGAGGGAGGAGAGGTATAGAGTCAGCTATTGGAGTGGGTGTGACCCAGGGATCCCAGGATTCCCCAGAATCCTCCACCAGGGGCTGCCTCAGTACTCACTCTCTCTCCCTTCTCTCCTGGGTGGCCGGAGATTCCTTTGGGTCCAGTGGGGCCTGGGGGTCCCTGAGCAACAAGACAGGGCCTCAGCTTTGTACTGAGGCAGGGTGGGGTGGGCAAGCACTTGGGGGGCACAGGGGTCGAGGAGGGAGTCCCAGTTTGGCCTGGACCTCTGGGTTCTTTACCACACTCCCAGTGCCTGGCATACAGCTGGCAGTTTATACATCTCAGGGTTTAGAGTTATGGCCCTGGAGTCAGAGAGTCCCTACCCCTGATCTGCAAGTTGCCATGTGCTGGTGGCAGCCCTTTAAAAAAAAAAAAAAAAAGAACCTCTATCATTCTTGGCTGTATGTGCTGCTCTTCCTTACATGGACTGAATGACTGAATAAAAAGATTTACTGAAAGTAGTTTGCATATTAAGTGCTCAATAAATGCTTGAATGAATGAACAAATGAATGAATGGTAGATGGGTGAATGGATGAATATGTGGACTGATAGTGGGTGGGTGGATGGATGGACAGATGAGTGGGACCACTTGGAGAATTACTCACCATGTGTCCAGGACTCCCAGGAATGCCCACGGGACCAGGAAGTCCAGGGGGACCTGGAGTAAGACACGACATCCTCAGGACTCAAACAGAGTACAATACCAGTAAGTCTACTATCCACTCCCTCCTGATGGCCACAGCCCTAGCCACTCTGCCATCATCTGACCCCACCCCTTACATTGGGCCTGGACTCAACTTACCCATTGGCCCTGGGGGGCCTGGGAGTCCGACTGGTCCCTGGGGCCAGTGGCTGCTGGTCTCAGTGAAGGTGTTGGACAGTAATGGGTCCCCTGGGGGAGGAAAGATGGTGAGTGAGCAGGACTGGGCTGGGATAGGGCAGTCAGTCTTTACCTGCCATACCTCTGCCAAGCCAGCTTTGAGTACCCTGTGGGACAAACTATAGTGTGGGCAGGGCCATTGGACACCTGCTCCAAGGGTGGGGAGTGTGGAGAGTGCTGGTCATATGGGACCAGGAAGCAGGGAGGCCTGGGTTCTAACCTTACCGCACTCTGGCTAGTGACATTCAGCAAGACCCTCCACCTTGCTGAGCCTATACTGCCACACGTCAAATGGGAATAGTAATAACAGCTACCATTTATTGACCATCTACTTTGTGCCGGGCTTCTGTGCATGGGGGTCATGGAGCTCTGGGAGAACTGTGCAGTCACTCTCCCCATTGTACAGATGAGAAAACTGAGGCTTGGAGAGGGAGGAGTGGTGAGATGGAATGAATGGCGCCCAGTCATACACCAAAGATACGGCACAGGTATGATTGAACCTGGTACTCCTAGCTTCTGACCACTGGCGGCACACACGTAGGTCAGCCTGGGGAGGAGGTCAAGGATACATGTCTGGGTCCAGATGGGTGGAGGAGGCTCTCTGAGCACAGGGTCAGGGAGCACAGAACTCATTTCCTGCCATCAGGCCTGGGGCTCTCCAGCGCTCTGAGGGCTGGATCACCGCCAGCTCCAAGGCTTGGCAGGAGGGCCGGATGCTGGTAATTCTAAGCACAGGCTCCGGAGGACGCCTGGGTTTGAAGCTGGTCTCTCATGTTCTGGCTATGTAATCGCTCCTCTCTGGCCCTCAGTCTTCCTCATTGGAGAACAGAAGAGGACAATGGCACTATTGGAGGACTGGGTGACACATAGCTGACCAAGGGCAAGCCTAGTATACAGAAGGTACCTGGTAGATGGCAGTGACAATGGGATGATCATTATGCCAGCCCTGCCCCCACTCCCACCATTATCTGTCATGACCCCAAGGGACTTACCATATTGGGGGTTCCAGGCATGGGGTGGTCCAACAGGGGCTGGGGGGCCAGGGGGCCCAGGGGGGCCAGGAGGCCCTGGTGGACCTGGAGGTCCCCTCTCTCCAGGAGTGCCCACAGCTCCAGCCTGGCCAGGGCTTCCTGGGGGGCCCTGAGGACCTACAATGGAACCAGGGAGTTGTTGGGTGTATGAGAGGCAGGGAGGTCCAGGGTGGCTGCAAGGGGGTGGAACAAGGCAGCCTGGGGGAGTGGGTACACGATGGCTGCGGAGGCCACAAGCCCAGGCCGGTCCTGGCCCTGACCTCCCTGGCCATCTATTAAGGGGATGAACACAGCCCTCTTCAGGGGCTTTAGGACAATGGACACTTGGTATACAGCAGGTTCTTAGGAAATGTTTATTTCCAGAATGTTCTCTTCTCTCCCTTCCAGACTTTTGAATGAGTTGTTCCCTCCATCAGTCCTCCCTTTGCTCTGCCTGGTGTCCCCTCCAAGTCATCCTTTAGGCCTCAGCTATGATGTCACTCCCCAGGAAGCCCTTCCCATGCCCCACCCCATCCAGGCTGGGTCTAGGCTTCCTTCCTTGGGGTTTCCATACCTACAACTTCCCCCAGAACAACCTTGGTCACATGGTGGGGGACACTGCTATTTCTCCTCTGCCTGCCTCTCCTCCCAGCTGGTCTGGAAGCATCAGAAGGGTATGGACAGGTCTGACCCCACCAAGTACCCAGCTCAGAGCCTGCTGTGGTAGGTGCCCAGGAAGCATGGGTCCAGAGAATGCAAAAGAGGGTTTTGGGGAGCCCAGGTGTGAGTGGAGGGGTGATGAGCTGAGAGACACGTGGGTGGAAGGGGCCCAGGCTACCTCTGGCCAAGTAAGGGTTCACCTGACAGGGCTGACCTGGGAAGCTGGGGGTAGGGGCAGTGCTGTGGGCACTCACCTGGTGGGCCTCTCATCCCCGTTGGGCCCCGGCTGCCAGTGTCTCCCTTGGGGCCAGTGGGCCCAGGAAGCCCCTGGCCACCAACTCGATCTGGGGGAGAAAGTTCATCAGCTTGGCAGCTCCAACTTTGCTCTTGCCCTGACACTGGCCCTCGTCCCCCAGTCAGCACCTACCCTCTCGAGGGAGCAGCGGGGCCCTCACGTTCTCTCTGGCTCCTGGTAGCCCTGGGGCAGGGGGTAGACAGGGGTCAGTGTCATCCAGGGTCCCTGCCTCCAGCTCCAGTGTGTACGACAGGAGCTACTGGGGTGCTGCGCCCCATCCCCTCAGGCCCAGAAAGGGGTCAAGCTGGGAGTCAGCAGCAAGGCGGGGACTGGAGTCTCACTCCCCTGATTCATTCCCAACACACTGCCCCTACTGACCCACTCACCTTGGAGGCTTCCATCTCCCGGGCTACCCCGGGCAGCTGGGGAGCCCCAGAGTGGGACAGGGTCCCCGGGTGCCGCTGGGGTCGGGAGCACTGCCCGCTCAGTGACAGTTAGCACCGCCACCTGCAGAGGAAGAAAAAGACAGGTAGGTACCAGGGTCTCAACAGGGGCAGGTCAGCCGAGGGGCCCCCGTGTTGGGGGCAGGAGGCCCATGCAGCCAGCATAGCCCAGCTTGGAGTGGAGACCCACCTCCCAGAGGCTCAGAACTTCATCAGAAGTGACTGTGGTTTTCAAACTACACAATTCGTCACCGTAAAAAAGCCATCATACACCGTCACTGCCACCCAAGTGGAGTTCTGTGTCACCATGTTTGCTGGGCCACAGGGTCTTTCCTATGCTAAGCTGCATAAATAACATGAAACTCCTCTTGGTCTATTCAAGTACTACAGGCTGGGAGGATTTTTACTAAATTTTGAGGGAAGTTTGGGAAGGTCTGACATGAAATAGAGGCCCCGAGGTGTATACAAAACCACTTTGGGACCCAGTGTGGGGAGCCTCTGACCTGGGATTAAAGAGGGGCCAGAATGCCCACTGACCAGGGGGCAGGGGTCGTGTGGTCCTGTCCAGAGAAAAGCTGAAACTCCCGGACAGACCCAGAACTAAGAACCACACCCCAGACCTGAGACTGAGCCCCTCATGCCGGCTCCTCCTGGGAGGAAGCCTGCGGAGCAGTGTGGGGTTCCCGGAGCTCCCACACTTCCTAGCGGGGGTTCTAGCACATGCTGTTCAGAAACTTCCTTTTCCCCCTTGATACCTCAGGGGCATCTTTTCATGTTACAAAACGGAGGTGTTGTGAATGGCTGTCTGGTATTATGCTAATTATGCAACCACTCCCTCTGCCATCTGGTTTTCAATTTTCCCTATTGATTATTATTATTTTTTAAATTTTTATTTATTTATTTTTTTGAGAGACAGAG